GATAGCCAACCATGTGCCAGAGCTTTTGCTGTCCCCATTTGGAGGAGGCAGGAGGGAGAATGTGTGTGTGTGTGTATGTGTGTGACTGTGTGGGTGTTTGAGGATAAATGCATGCACATGTGCATGAAGGGCACGGAGAAGGCAGCAGTCTCCCGAAAGAACACTTTATTTGGAAAGAGCCTCCCGTGACCTGGCTTGATCTCGTCCCTCATTTCTTGGGTGGGGGTTGCGCACGCCCATGTGTGTTTGTGTGTGAATGCTCAGTGCTGGGGATTTACAGATCTTTGAAATGGCTGTGCCCCTGAGGATAGGACTGCGCTCCCACCAGTGGCTCACAGTGCTAATCTGACTGACAGCTTGGTCCAGCTTTCAGCCAACAAAACAGCCCACTGGCAAGGTCCAAATACCTGACTGCTGAGGAATGTGATCTGCCATGAGATGACAGAGGAGAAGCTACTCACCCCTCTGTGTGCCTAAGCAAATGCTCAACCGCCTGTATCTCTCTCCCTTTCTACCACTTTTTCTGTCTGCTTGTTTGTCAGCACTACACTGCTAGACCTACACATCCTCGGACTCAGCTGGATATGACAGTTTGACAGGCTGTCACAGTTCTAAAACAGAAAGGCAGTGGGATGACACTGTCACGGTACCCTTCGGCAAGCATTTAGAAAAAACAAAACGTCTTTCAACTTTTGAACCTTCCAAGATTCATTTTTCAAATACGCATTATTTGATATTTTTTGGTTTAAAGAACTAGTCATCAAAACCAGTATTTTAAAGGAAAGCACTTTATGACTTCACTTAAGGCTTGATCTGTTTGGACACTGGCGATAAGGCTTCTGTTACCGCACATATTCACCAATAAGGCAAAGCTACAAAAAAAACTCTGCCACGTCAGTTAAAAACACCCCCACAAGCCATCTGTCTTGTTTCTTTTCTCCTTCAGGGGCAAACTGAGAGCTTATTTAGCTAAGATGCCCACTCATCAATCAGCGAGGCTTTTCCATAAGCCATCCAGCACAGCTTGAACTGGAGGACCCTCATAATTGAATATTAAACCCCCGATGAGTAGCAAGGCAAACTGCGATGTTGACTGGAGGCTGTAGTGTTCTGTTGCCGTTGTGTTGGCAGAGATACCTGTGGTGCTGTTCAGTGTAGCGTCAGTTGCATCCTGCCTACCCGAGGTTATTCTGTCACACTGTCACAATTTCCATCTTTTGGATAAGAAAAGTGTCTACAGACAAACATCCAAACTCGCACAGGGGACCACAGATGCAAGCAGGCATGAATCTATTTGGCACGCAAATATGTAAACACAGCTGGCTTTTACTCAATAGGCAGCACTTGTAAGAAGGCTGGAGAAATTGCCTATTGTTCAGTTAAGACAAGAAGTAAATGTGGCTTTGACTGTTTTTATTTTGGTCTGTATTTACCGCAGCACGCTGAAGGAATCTCTACACAGCTCAAACAGAAGATCAGGGAGCAGCCCACGATTCTGCACTACAAATATAATTGTATTTCTATTAGACCTGAAAGCAAAATAATATTGTGAGATAAGGAGTGAAATTGCAGGGAAATTGCATTTTTCTGGTGTCTTGCCAATATAATCTGATGTATGAAATGGTGGAATGTCACGAAGGAAGGTACTCTTGAAAAGATTAAAATCTGCTTTGCCTGTTATTATAAATTTGGATGTTTTTCCAAAAGGAAAATCCTGTCAGCAATGGAGAGAGAAGCAAAAACCTCAGATTTTAGGTCTGTGTCCTGAAGTGTTAGATCAATGAAAACCAAGGTGTCTGGAGCGCTCCCACAAACATTTTACAGCACATTATCCATGTAGGTTTTCCAATTTATCTATAAGAATCGAGTTCACGTCTACAGATAATGGCATTAATTGTAGCGATATTACATTAACATCCTGAGAGTATAACCAGCCGATTAATTCATTTCTTTAGAGGCAATATACATGTTGGCTACTACAACACGCACAATTTGCCACAAAAATACACATTAACAAGCCACCTCTTCACAAGAAAGCCTTTTTTCCATGGGAAGCTGGAGCCGCAATCCTCAAACGACTCTCCTGCTGTTAAGACAGACCCTGTGATAGCCAATTGGACTCTTAAAGATATGGATTATTCAGACCCATTCAGGCATCAGTGTGTTGACAGACAGACCTCAGTAAAAACATCCCCATGCTGTATATCCTTTCTGCCCCATTGCTCTATGGGGATAAGCTGACTTACATGTACAGAGAACCTCCCTATGCAAACAATGATTGTGAACAGTGACATTCAAGGACTGCAGCTGCTGCTGCAGACAAGCGCACAAAACTGGGATTCACCTATTTGCTATTTTCATTCGATTTTTCCCAAGCATCAAAGTTTAATAGAGTAAATCTCAGAGATACTGCAATATGCAAGCTTACAAATTTTAGTCAAGACTTCAGTAATTATGGTATATGTGGGCTAATTACATCTCTTACATTTTAAAATTGCACCATGGCACGCCATCGGGATTAGCGAGATTAATAATGCTTTCATAATTGCACTTTTATATTATTGCTTCAGGTCAGGTAACATATTTTAAACACCGATGAAGCACAGCACAAAAGAATGTAGACTTGTTTTCATTTATTTGGTTACAAAAATGTGGGGAAAAACATCTTCATATTTATTTTATATAAAGTATTATCACAGATTCTTAAAAAAAAAAAAAAAAAAAAGCATATTTGACAAGTCAGCTTTTGATTTTCTGGCTAGTTCACAATTAGCTACTGGCTGCCAGCAGTAACAAACAGGTACACTACTGTACAGTTGGTATTTACATCTATTCTTGGAAATCGTGCAGCTGCAACCTCGACAACGAACGCCAACCCTCTTTCACAGTTATAATCATCCCAGCACGTAGAAGCTGACTCCCTGTCTCTTTTACAGAAAAAAAAAAAGCACTGCTATTGTCATCAGTATAATGTCTTAATAATTATCATCTGAGGGTGCAACTCGAGACTCGACTAAGACAAGGGGAGAGAAGCGCAGCGTGGATAGACTAGGAGAGCAAGCAGCACCCCGTGGATGCATGATGAATGAGGGTGTCAGTTGTGTTCACCCAACTAGCAGTGCAGTCTCTGAAACTGTCAGTCCCCATGCACTGAGACCTGTCTCATTAACCACAGTGATCATGCATTAACAAGACAGGCAGTAAGAGAGCAGGGAAATAAATCATTTTTATAAGATGAACCACCATTTTTAAAAAGAAAAAAGAAAAAAAAATTGTAATAGACATTAAATTTGTTTCACTGGTGATCAGCGTGACAAGATATGGCACATTAAAGCTCATCATATGGGTTTGTTTTGGTTGTGCACTAGGATTAGAATGGAAACATTTGCATTGCTGGTAATTACTCCAAGTAGATTTTGATGAAGTATTTGTTATACAATTATATGAATAATGATGAAGCACTAGGTAACTGTCTCCAACAGTGGGTTCCATTTTCTTACTCCCCACTGTTTTTGGTGTGCTGCATTATTGATAAGGGGCTGACATTTTACACTTTTCTTAAGGCAAAGCCAGAGTCCCTCTACAGTCACCTGCAGCACTGTCTCCACAATAACCAGGCTGACAGTCTAATATCACAACAGGGACTCTGCAGGATTCATATTACATTTATTAGCAGGTTTGTGGTGACAGCATTGGTTTGTGCCTTCTGCTGGACTAGTTTGGCATTTTTATTTACTAACATGAAATTTTCATCACATAAAATCAAAACACATTCAAGACTTGACAACTGGTGTTCCTGCGATTGTTCAGAAAATCGACTTTATATGTATTCCTAAAAAAAAAATCTCCTTTTAATCTTTCTGGGGGAAAAAAAATGAGAAAATGCCTCTCTTAATGCTGCTTGGAAGCAGCAGGGCGTGGCTGGGAGTCAGCTCAGGTTAGTCCCTGTTTTCCTACATCAGTCATCCTTAAACTTAAAACCACCTGCCCAGTGTGGTGCAAGTCCACCTTGTGCTGTTAAAACAGCTGCAACTGATTGAGACATCGGCATGTGTGAAAAAGCACCAGGACATTAGAAGTGGATCATTTGCCTCCTGCTGGTTTCAGAGTGGAGTCTCAGAGAAGCAGGCTTGTTCTGGGCATCCTGTAAATGCTTTATTGTACTGGGATCTGGCAGTTTGGAGGCCGGGTCAAAACCTTGGGCTCTCTGTCGCATTCCTAGAATCGTTCTTGAACTGTTTTTTGTGGTGTGGTGGGGTGCAAGTGTTCCAATGGGGGAGGCTGTTGCCATCTGGGAGCGCCATTGTCATGAAACATGCCTTGTTTTTCAACGTTTAGGTGGGTACATATCAAAAATAACATCCAATCCACATAAATGCCAGAAACCAAGATTTCCCAGGAGAGCACAGCATTGTAGTTGGACGATGAGTGTCATAGGCTTCAGCTGTAGTAGTGGTTTTAATGTTGTGTTGTAGTATACAATGGCTAAACTGATGAGTGCATAAAGGCTAAAGCATGTTCACCAGTCTTTAATATAATCCACTCCAAAACTCCAAGAGTTCATTCAGAATATTCAACAGCAACATCGTCAACAGGGGTGCAGAAATTTTAGCACTCTTAAAAACTTTTGAGAATAAATTTGCAGGCCACTGTGAACATTAAACACTTGCATTAAGTCCCTGACATAATATTTGCCCACCACAGACGTACAAGAGCGCATTTGTTTTTGTTTTCTCTCACCGTCTTTTTCGAAGCAGAAGATTAGGCACACATTTACACACGTCTTCATGCTGCAGGTTTCTGTACAGATAAGAGCTCGTCATACAATTACTGTATCATTTGACATGGATCATTACACTGTTGCAACCCTGGAACCCACAATACTGCACAGCGTGCGCCTTCCACAAACTAACTCATGCTCCTAGCCAGTGTGTGCACTCTCGTGCATGTTACTCTCGCTATTCCGCCAAAACAACACACATAAAGGAAACACAGCCTACCTCGGCTCGCAGTGACAGCTCCGTACGTCGACTCGTTGCAGGAGATGGCAACAATGTGATGCTCGCAGTAAAGATCGCGGTTCGTAAGCGCAGAAGTTTTGACAAGTCAGTGAGTCACGGAGCACACAAAGAGTGCCAGTCCCTTACTGATCTGTGTAAAGCAAGCCAGTGTACAGGGTGTATGACAACGCCCCGAAACAAAAGTGATCCGGTTGATCCTCCGGTGGATCATTACGATTATTATTAAGGATGTTTCTCTCCAAATTGGCTACGCGCACCGGTGCGCTGCGATTACCTCCCAAAGTGATCCCCAAAGCAAACGTCCCCTAAGGACACGTGATCAACATACGGGGGACGGGAATAGCTCTCAATTCCCCACACAGTAGCAGCTGGGATCGGTTACACCGCTGCTTTAGAGCCCGTTCAAAAAACCCGAGCTGTGCGCACCCATACTCCTCCTCCTACCATTTTCCCATCCCCTGTGACCTCACGGTGTCGCTGTCATTTGTCTTCACCTTAGCAATTTGGATCGATTAATATAATACACCTGTCGCCTTGGCCCGCTGATTATAAAGACATTAAATTTTACTTATAATTATATGGAAGTTTCCTTTCAGATGTTAACTCACGAATGACTGTAGATAAATTATATTTATTTAGATGACAATATTTCAATGTTGTTTAATAAAAATGAACAACTTAGAATCCTATATGTACCATTAATCAATGTAAAATAATACTAATAATAACAATTTTGTCAGGATAACCCTTTTGGGTTATTCCACAATCCAGATTGTTTTCCTTCTTTTCTCACAGGCATATAAATAATTTGTAATCTAAGCCAGTAATGATGTCACTACTCCCAGGCACCAATCACAGTTTAACAGCTGTTACGACCAAGCGTAAGAGATGCTAGACTCATCATTAGCGTTAATTGGTTTGAGAGCCGGTGATAACAGCCATATTTTATATTTCCACATTATTTTTTATACCACACCATTCATCGACCGCTGATGTCTTATGTATTGGGGCACTGCCATCCTAGTGGGCGCCACTACCATCATTTGTCCTGATTTATATGCATATTTTTTTTCAATCTTAGGGGTCACGTGGACCCAGCAAATGCTCTACAACACACCAGAGCCAACGATTCCTCTCGCTGTAAAGGTCGAGGGGTTATTCGTTTGTCACCAGTGTGTAGATTGTATGTTTTTTTGTTCTGAAGTCTATTTTTTGTTTAATTTAAATAAAATGTTTCATTTATAAGTCTCATTCTTTAATAACACTGATTTTCAGAAGTTTTTATTGCAAATGAATTCTCAGCTTTTTGTCCTTAAACTGTAATAACTATAAGAATTATTGAATTTTTATAGTCGTAGCCTTAAGATTTTTTTTAGCTGAATAAACATTTAGAAAGCTAGAAAATGTACCAGCGTTAAAATGTGTACATTATGAGCCTGAAGTTGAAAGGAGCTTCCAATTCTGTAGGTGAGCTAATGTGGGCGTTCTGAAGAGAACCAAGGTTTTATTTTGCTGAATTACCTTCAAACAGCTCTTAAATGCAAATGGGATACAGACTGAATGCTGGAAGAACTGCACTGCCGTACAAGTTGCCATGTTAATTAGTTCCTCTGTGAAAAGCTCAGTATTCAATAGAGACAAGAAGGACAACTGATAGGTAGTCTTTGTTTCTCTGTATCTTTCACCCACAAAACGCAAAACCAGCACTGGCCCTCAGCCTGCTGGAGTACATGTGCTGTGTGCTTGTAAGACAGGTTTTAAAAGCAAAGGGGTGCACAGGACCCCTCACACCTTACACATATGCTTATGGATTAGGTTGATAAACTGTAACTCCAGGGCTCATTGGACTGAATATCAAAGCTTGCAGGTGGATATTTGAGCTGGCATTCAGGGCCTGTAAGACTGTTTGTTCTCTTGTCAACATGCTATTACTGTACAGACAGATTTCAGCTGAAAGTATGAGATGTATTAGTACACTGTGATAGACTTTAACATAGCTGTTGCACACATTTAAAACAGATTTAATTTTTCAAGAAATACAATTTTTATTGCCTTTCAGTGTCACCCAGTCTGCAAAGTGACACACTTTCCACATGAGTAAACCTGTCAAAGAAGTATGTTTATCAGTTAAATCTTCTCGAAATGAGGATTAGCTCATTTCAAAGTGAAATGTGGCAGACTTTCACATTTCACTTTGGTCTTTTATGATGAATGTTATCTGGCTCAAACAAATAAGTTTGCTATTTTCCTGTTCTAACACCCCACAGTCCCAAACACAGTCTTATTAGAACTTAGACTTTACACTGCAGTATTTGGCTCATTTTGTATTGTCACTAAAGGCAGGATTTAGAAGTGAAGAATGTCTGTCAATTTCTTCTCTTGCAAGGACTCATCTACTGTGTTAACAGCTTCATCCTACATAAAAAGCAAACTTACGATGACCCAAATCCTCCATTGATATGTTCAAAGCCACCATTTCTTTTGTGATACTAACAATGGGTGCACTGGAACTTATAAACCTACACCTGTGAGCACACAAAACAGATTTTAAAAGCCACCTTGTGGGGTTTGTGGTCATGGTTAGTATTGTTAGTATTATCTTTTTATAAGTGGACATCGTTTTTGTCTGAAATGTGCATGAAGATCAGAGGCAGACTGTGTGACACTGCCGTCACTGGTCAGAGGAACACAGAACCAATTCTGCAAAGTTAAAAAAAGAAAAACACTGAATGCAGACATCATCTTTGTTTAATGTCCGCGGATAAAATACACATGGCACATTTAGGCAGGGAAGCTTTGCTAAGTATGTCTGCGTGTAAGTAAAGTATGTGAGAAAAGACCAACCAGTGCATTGTTTATGGAGAGCAGTACTAGGAATGCGAAAAATCTCAGCTGAAGTAAAAAAAAAAAAAAACTAAATGAAGCTTACTTTTCTTCCATCCATCCATCCATCCATCCATCCATCCATCCATCCATCCATCCATTTTCATTCACTGTTGTTATATTTCCAGGTTTAGTATTTACTGTTTCTGTTCTGTTTCACTTACTGCTTGCTGTGCTTTTGTTTATGTTTGTTAAACTTTTTTGGGTATGTTTTCAATATAATTTCTTAAAACCCAAGCAAATAACAAGGTCAACAAATTAGCTTTAGCAATAAGAGCTACATTAACTGAAATGGTCTGCTTTTATTTGATGAACACTGACATTTTCTTGATCATTTGCCACAGAAGTTAGAAAGAAATAATAAAATATACAACAAAAAAGGTAGAGAGATTCATTGGTGAATCTGGGCCTTCGTTAGAGCTTCACGGTTTGAAATGAAAAAGAAAAATTCTGTCAATACAACATCAGACCTCAGCAATTCTAAACTGTGGACGTCAATAAAAGTATTTAATAACACACTCAGCTGAAGAATTTTGCATTATATCTAAAAAAAATCTCCTCCCTTACAAAGAGATTAACCCAAAACATATTGTTAATCATTACAGGGATTATGAATAGTTAACTGAAAATGGGATAACTGAGGCTGGGGAAAAGTAATAATTAATGAGGCTGGGTACAGATGGGACAGTTTGGGATACTTAATTATGTTTTGGCACTAAAAAATGACCCACTTTTCAATTTTTCTGGTCATGAGTTTTCTACACATGAGTTTAAAGGTATAGCAAGTAAGATTTCCATGTTTAAATGTTCCATAAAAATAGACAACGTTACCATCAAAATTTGAAACCCCTCTGACATCACGTCAAAGACATCTGTGCGTTGTGTTGCAGGGATATCTATTGACGTGAGCATACTAACAGGATAACCTTGGCTCTGTCCTGTCTTGTTATACCGTCATATCTCAAGAGGTGATAGTGAGTCATTGCAGGTGTCTATTTTGCATTGTGTCAAATGTGAGAGGAGTAAGTAGTGCCTTGCAAGTAAAGATGGTGCTTTAGTACAAGTGTCATACAGACAATCAAGGGTTAGATGTATTTAATCTGCCATCAGGGGACACTGCTACAGAACAGGGATCATTCAACATCCACCCTGCATGGTGATCTATTAAGAGGATACATATTCACTAATCATGTAGAAGCCTATAGACCTGTGAGTACCAGATATACAGGTTTCTATGTTGTATATTCATATTTTTATGTATTGTACCTTTAAAATCAACCATAAGAAATCAAATCATATGAAAGTCTCTACTCAAAGTCAGCTTTTGTTAGTTACAAACTAACAAAGAGGATTACAAAAAAAAAATTATGTTTCTATGATTTTTTTTTTAAATGTGGGAAGTTGTAATTAATAGCTTGAAGTTTTTTAAAATACTAGCTGAAAATAAAACAAAACGAACTACATTATTTATAATTTCTAATCAGTATTGCATGCCCCGAGAAGAAAGTAACAAGAACTTCCAAGGACTGCATAATGCTTATACATTATGTAACTATGCCAGTGACTAAATCTTTGCTCTGCAGTAGTGCATGTAGTTAAAGTTTAAAAAACATTTCTTTCGTTGAGGAGCTCTGAGGATTTGGCTGTTTTGGTGTGTGACTGTGTGGGATTTTAAGGATCCATATAAATGTAAGTAGCTGCCAGCTGCTGTCTTTCAGCTCACTGACCCCTTGGTTCTCTCACACTGCGGCGCAGCCACAAATAAAATCCTGCAATCATAGTGGATTATGAGGGTCTAAACAGCAAGACGTCAGCTTGCAGGTGGTTGCAGGCGGAGCTTTCACTCTGCTAGGTCTGCTTGAGCCGTAATGATGTCTCAGCTGTGCTACTCTGTAGATTCGCAGAAGAAAAATGAAAAGAAATGAAAATGACAAATGCTTTGGTCATCAGTGCATCTCTAACTGTCTGATAAAAATCTGATAAAATGTGTATAAATACATTATTCAAATAAGAAATCCACCATGCTTAAAAATTTATGAAAAATAATACATATTTACATATAAGGTATTATATGTAAATATCATGTGATAACACTTGAAATAACTGTGCTTGGATATGCAGTGGAAAACCAGAGATTATGAAAAAAGAAACCATGGATAAAGTTTCAAAGAATGCCTTTGTTTATGGTTAAAAAGCCCTTTAAAGAGCCCATAAAACCACAGATTGCCAGGAAGACAGTAGTTTATATTTGTACATTTTCATTTAAAATCTTGATAGGATTGTATGTTACACAATGTGTTAACACAAACACTATGAACTCTGCCCCCAACTAAAGATTTCTTTATCCAACTTGTTATGCTTTGGTTCAATCAATCAATCAGCTATTTGCAATGAATAAATCCGTATCTCTCATGCATCAGAAGATGTTACAGTTGCAGAGTGCAGAAAGAATGTAGTAACAATGTTAACATTACGGGGAAAAACAGCCTTTCAAATGTTCAATGAAAACATGCATGCATAAACCACAAACTTCGCTCTAACAGCGCCAGCAAAAACTATAAT